GGGCCTGAACTTTGGGCCTGGGCGCTGTCCCTCAGCTCTTCTGATCAAGGCTAGCACTCTACCACTTGAGCCACAGTGCCACTTCCAGCTTTATCTGCTTATGTGGTGCTGAGGAATTGAACCCAGGGCCTTATGCATGCAAGGCAAGCACTCTACCACTGAGCTACCTTCCCAGCTCCGTTTTTCTTTTTTCTTTTTTGGAATAGGATCTCAGCTGTGTAGCACAGCTGGCTTAGCACTGGGAAGCCTCCTTCCTCGGCCTCCTCAGTGCTAGGATTGCAGGCATGCACCATATGTGGCTTTCAGACTTTTTTCTTGAATAAATTATCCCCAGATTGCTGCAAGCTTTTATTTCCAGAGTGGCAAAAAGACTGATTCTGGCAATGTTTACCCATGTTCTATTCCTTTTGTGAAAGAATTTTTAGAGGTTCTGTTCTACCATTTTCACTGCCATCATTATACACTGTTCTGAAACAATTCAGTTTTGTCCATAAAAACACAAGATTTCAGCCTTCTTTTTTAAAAATGTAGAGGACCGGGGCATACCTCAAGTGATAGAGTACTTGCCTAGGATGCTTGAGGCCCTGGGTTCAATCTCCAGAACCCAAATTTCAGGAGAAAGAGAAGAGGGGTGAGGGGAAGGGAAGGGAGGGGAAAAGGAAAAACAAAAGGGATGAAAACTAAGAGTTTAGAAGGCCCACCCCTTGACACACAGCAACCTTGAGTAGAGCTCTCTGAACATTACCATTTGCTTTCTGCCTCAGGGTCTTTGTACTTACTGTTCTCTCTGCTTGAAATACTCTTTCACCAAATATGCTTTAGGGTCTTTCCTTACCTCTCAGTGGTCTGCTCACATAACACCTTTTTATATCTCCAGTGCTTATTCCTTCCCCAAACCTTGCTATCCCCATACCTTGCTTTTGTTTATAAGCTAAGCATTACTGTATGCTTTATATCCATTTCCAATTCCCTCCTTTAGAATGAGTTTCCTTTTAATTCTAGTGCCTAAAACTTAGCAGTGCTCAAAACCAAATATACAAATACAAATTTATATATACAGAGCAGTGAATGGATACACTTAAAAATGGCTCCTAAGAAAAATGAGCCTGGAAGTACTTCAAGACAGCTGTGAGTCATACTTTATATTAATAGAGAAACAGAAAAACAGATTCAGACACCAAATCAAATATGTTCACTAGGAGTATGAACAGGAAGTTTAATGATGACATGGGAACACAGGCTGGCTGTGACATCAGAGCAAAAGGCAAGCAACAAAGGGACTTACTTGTTAAAGTTACCTTTTCAAGGCCTTCCCTAGAAATTCAACCTAAAGTGCTCAGAGGAACTAAGTTATTTTGGTACTGTTTGGAATAGGGCAGCTGAAACTTTGCTTGGTACTTTTCTCAAAGTATTCCAGGAGATTAGCCAAAACCATGTGCTGAAAATCTGCTGAGTGCCACAATCTTATTAATATGCAATGAGATTCTATTTCAGACAGCTGGTGATACTGGGCTACCAATCAGATTCAGGGTACGGACATAATTATATAACTACAGATACTTGAAAAAAATGGAAGAAAGACAAATTTTGCCATCACTTGAGGTTGGGAGTTTAAAGAGGAAGGAGGACAGGGAATAGTATTTCAAGAAGATCGTCTCCCAGGATGGAGTGGAAAAGTACTAAGAGCTATGACAGGAAAGCAGGTCTATAAAGCTTGAGAGAAGCTGTTATTTGTCCCTCCCTCTCCCTCAGCTGAGAGCTATAAAGGGCTCTAAGAGGCTGAACTTGCTTTTTGTCCAGAGTCTCTTAAGGCAGAATCTGGAGACAATACAGCAGTTTGAGCAATGCCTGGCCCAGATAGTTAGATGAGCTGCAGAGATTTATATTATTTAAACTTAGTGATTACCAGTGATTGGAAAATGATTATTTTTAAAAAGGTAGACCGTGTACAAGCTATTTTAAGTACAAGCTATTTTAAGTTTATTAATAAACAGGAGTAAAAACCTTCAGGTAATTCCAGGAACTGGCAACATAGTTTAGTAGTAGAGGTTTGCCTAGCACATGCAAGACCCTGGGCTCCACCCCCTGCACAGCAAACCAACAAATTATGTACCTCCTGACACATTAAAAGAAAACCATTAGAGCTGGGAAGGTGGCTCAGTGGTAGAACGCTTCCCTTGCATGCATGAGGCCCTGGGTTCCATTCCCAGCACCACATAAGCAAAAAAGAAAAGCCGGAAGTGGCGCTGTAGCTCAGTGGTAGAGCGATAGCCTTGAGCTGAAGAGCTGAGGGACAGTACCCAGGCCCAGAGTTCAGGCCCCATGACCGGACCCAAAAAAATTAAAAATAAAAAAAAATAAATAAAAGAAAACCATTAGACTAGGGTTGAGGGTGTAGATCAAGTATAGAGCCCTTGCCTCTAATGTTATAAGGCCTGAGTTTGGTCTCTGTTACCACAAAAAAAACCAAAAAAACAAACAAACAAAAAAACCTTAATTTACAAAATCTCAACAGTTTAAGTTTCTTTTTTTTTTTCTCTCCAGTCCTGGGGCTTGAACTAGGCCTGGGCACTGTCCCTAAGCTTCTTTTTGCTCAAGGCTAGCACTCTATCACTTGAGCCACAGTGCCATTTCTGGCTTTTTCTGCTTATGTGGTGCTGAGGAATTGAACCCAGGGCTTCATGCATGCTAGGCAAGCACTCTACCACTAAAGTCACATTCCCAGCCCAAACCTGTATTTTTTTTTTTTTTTTGGGGGGTCCGGTCGTGGGGCCTGAACTCTGGGCCTGGGCGTTGTCCCTCAGCTCTTCAGCTCAAGGCTAGCGCTCTACCACTTGAGCCACAGCGCCACTTCCAGCTTTTTTCTTTTTGCTTATGTGGTGCTGAGGAATCGAACCCAGGGCCTCTGGCTTACAAGGCAAGCGCTCTACCACTGAGCCACCTTCCCAGCCCCCAAGCCTGTATTTTTAACAAGTCACCTCCTTTATGAAACAAGGAACTAAGTCCTGCTTCCAAGAATACAAAGCTACCTGAAGTGGAACAAAATAGTTGCATTGTCAAAGCTCATAGAATTCACAAACTTTATAGACCATGATGACAATGGTAGAGCCACATTCCCAGCCCCTCTTTTTATTTTTTTTTCTTCTTGTCAGTCGTGGGGCTTGAACTCTAAGCTTGAGAGCTGTCCTTGTGCTCTTCAGTTCAAGGCGAGCACCCTACCACTTGAGCCACAGCGCCACTTCTGGCTTTCTAGTGGTTTATTGGAGATAAGAGTCTCACAGACTTTCCTGCCCGAGCTGGCTTTGAACCTCGATCCTCAGATCTCAGCTTCCTGAGTAGCTAGGATTACAGGCGTGAGCCATTGGCACCCAGTTTACGTTTCATTTTTGATGGTGAGCTTGGAGAAGTTACATTACTCAGGAAGAAATCCTCTTAAGAAAGGAAATTCAGCTACTGAAGAGCTTTAAGTAATTGTTAAAATATCCACACGCAGGTAGAGATGGGAAGGCCACCTCAACTACAGTTATTACTTAATTATTCCTGCTTTTGCAAGATGATTGACCCTTAAATGCTATCATAAACTGCAGATTTTAGAGCAGAGTAGGGAGGGATTTCTATTTCACCCAGATTCTATTTCTATCTCCAGATCACTCAGCTGCCACACATTTTGCATTTACAGCACCAGAAAAAAAAAATCCATAAATAGTCCTAAACAAGATTGGATTAAATGGCAGCTAGAAACGTTTGGGTTAGATATAAAGAAACCTCCCTAAAATAAAGATAATGAAATTTGGCGCTGTGGTACGAAAGACTTTTTCATTACTCTAGAAATATCATTCGCCTTTGGTCAAATTTACTATCCTAATTACAGACTAATGCACCTACCAGGTTTCCACCTCAGATCCAATAAGCCAAACTCTCCTCATGGAGGAACTTAGGAGTTTTTTTTGGTCTTTTAAATTTTTGGTGCCAGTCCTAGGGCTTGAACTCTGGGCCTGGGCTCTGTCCCTGAGCTCTTGTTACTACAAGCTAGTGCTTGTAGTACATGAGCTACAGCTCCACTTCCAGCTTTTCGTGGTTAATTGAAGAGTTTCACAGACTTTTCCTATGGGATGGTTTCAAAACCAGATCTTCAGATCTCTTGAGTAGCTAGCATTACAGGTGTGAACCACCAGCACCAGGCAAGCCTGAATTATTTTTTTTGCCACTCCTGCAGTTTGAACTCAGGGCTTGGACACTGTCCCTGAGTTTCTTTTGCTCAAGGCTAGCACTTTACCACTTGAGTCACAATGCCACTTCCAGCTTTTTTCCGTTTATGTGGTACTGAGGAATTGAACCCAGGGCTTCATGCATGCTAGGCAAGCACTCTACCACTAAGTCACATTCCCAGCCCAAGCCTGTATTTTTAACAAGTCACCTCCTTTATGAAACAAGGAACTAAGTCCTGCTTCCAAGAATACAAAGCTACCTGAAGTGGAACAAAATAGTTGCATTGTCAAAGCTCATAGAATTCACAAACTTTATATACCATGATGACAATTTGTCTTTTGAAGGCTAAAATGTGTTTGTGACTTTAAGTATCACTATCCTACAATACTGTGAAACGTGAAATTTATGTAATCACCTAATCTCAAAAAAAAAAAAAAAAGCTATTCACCTTAGAAAGGAAATGATTTGAATGGAGGAAAGTGGTGAATTGAAACGCAGAACCATCTTGAAACTGAGAAAAGCTAGAATTTTAGGGGGAGAGATCACATGTGTCAGAGATCCTATGTGCCAGTGGCACATTTTCTGCTCCACCTTGCATTCAGTGGCAGCTTGTTCCAGGGCCTGCCTTCCCTCATCTCCTTGCCTTCCCAATACCCTCTTCTCTGAAACAAAACTTTTCCCAAAAGACTTGAGACCCAGAGGTGTGAAAAGGCTGTTCCCAACAGTCCCTTCAGACTCCAAACTGCTCTGTCACCAATACCGCAGTGGCACCTAAAAATCTAGCCACTTACCCAGACTGGAGAGTCTTTTCAGCAAGCCAGCTTCTCGAATGGCAGCTGGGCCATATTCCACTCCTTTTTTTTTCTGTGAATCACACAAATAGCACGGTTAGATGTAAAGAAGACGGTGCTGAGGGGAGGGGGGGGGGGGGACGGGACCACTTTCACAAAAACACAAAATCCTGCAATACTGCCCTTGGTTCCTAACAGATTGCTCTGCAAACCCATCAGAGCATCCATTGCCCCATACCATCTATGGAGCACTAAAGTCTGATCCTTTCACCAAATTCTTCCACAGACCCATGAGAAACCACCCCCATGACTGAAATCACATTAGCCCTCGGAGACCCCCCTGGGGGGCTGGGGGCGGGGCACGGAGTCCCCACAGAAGGAGGACGGAGGTAGGTTAGGATCTGGTAGTGGGCGTGTGTGGCTGGGCACCCCGTCCCCGGGGGCGACTGCAGATTTCTTTCCCGGAGGAGAGAACAAAGCCCCTAGCGTCCTCCCGCCGCTGGACCCGGAGCAGCGCCAGTTTCTTTCCCGGCTGATTCTCTCTCCGAAAGGAGAATCCGAGCCTTGATCCCGCTCACGCGCCACCCTCCTTTCGGCCCTTTCTGGCCGGGACGCGGGCGGATTTCGCCTGCATCATCCCGAACTCGGAGCCCCGGGCTCCCGCTTTCCGGGAGGCCGCGGGACCCCCGCCCTCGCTGGCGCTGACCTCCCCTCCCCACCATAAAGCGTGCCCTCCATCCCTTCCTCCCCTCCTCCCCTCCCGGTGCCCAGCCGCTAGAACCCGCCAGCTCAGCTCTTCCCTCGGCCGCTGATCCCCATCCTCGCACCCCCAGCGCCGCGATCTCCGGGTTCTGGGTTGGAGGAATCCGGCCCTGCAGTGCCGGGTCCCACCTCTCACCTGTCCCTGAGAGAAGGAGGCGCCGATCACAGCCACGGAGTGGACGGACTTCTTCCTGACCGAGTGCACTTGAGTCCGGAGGGTACGCAAGAGGCTGCTCCGCACCGACACGACTGACAGCACCGGGAGCGCCATGACGGAGGTAACTCCCCGCAGCTCACCCGCGACTGAGCCGCAGCGCCCGGCAGCACCGCTCACCTACTAGAGCGAGCCAGCCGCCCGGTGACGTCATCTCCGCCTCGGCCACGCCCCCCGCGCCCCCAACCAGCCCCCGGGCACACCTTCCCGCAGGCTCCTCCCACTGTCCCCGACACGCCCACGGTGGCGTCATTCGCGGAGCTTGGGTTCTCTCCGGGAACACGCCCCTGCCGTGACGACACAAGGCTAGAATAAAGGGCTGGCCAATAAAAACACGGCACCGGGCCGACAGGTGTGTCCTCCTACCGCCAAATTCAACCTCGTCAAACGAACCAGAGCTGACCGCGGCTCTTCACATCAAGGCGCGCCCCGGCAATGAACCAATTTCACGGACGCGTTGGCTGGGCCATGCGGGTCTCGGTGTGGCCGGCCCCCATGCCATTGGCTACTCTATATCAATCCAGCACATTTCTGGTTTGTTCTATCCCAAAGCTCAAAAGTTCTGCAAACATTTACTCCCAGCCCAAGGCCACATCAGCTATAGGTAGATTGGAACCTTCTGGGCCAACAAGCACCTACCCTAAGTATTTTGGAAGGGCAAATTAGGATGTTTCAAGCAATTACCTTCCAGATGTTTTCAATTCTTGAATAACTGGAGCAATGGTTATTGCCAACCAAATATACCGACATAGTTGAACCATTTCTCAAAGGAGGCTAGAGAGTTGAAAATGCCACTTTGGATGTTAATAACTAATAATATTTTAATAAAAACCAACAAGTTCTAAAAACAACACTTGAACAATTCTATAAAGTAGGCTCTATTTTAATTGAATGAAACAGGATGAATGATAACTTTCCCATCATTTTTTTTAAGTGGCAGGGCTATTTAACTCCACATTCCTGTGGCTCTGTGACATACAGGACTTTATTCCTCCTGCCCAAATTAGTTTATATAGGAGCATCTGGATGTGCTTCAGAGGCATATAAATTTATCTGCCTCCCCAAACATTTCAGAAGTCTCCATGGCAAAACTCCAAGGAGCCGCATAATTCACATTTGAGTTTTAGGGGATACTTGTCTCCCTCTGTTGTTTTAACAAAGATGACTGAGCTCTTAACAAAAGCAGGATCACACTAGGTTACTGTAAGGCGATGGTTCTGTGAGTGGATCCCACATCAACATCAATATTATCCGGGGCTTTGCTACAAAGGCAAATTACTGAGCCCTAACCCCAAGGTTACTGAATTACTAACTAGTGGCCAGGGCATCAGTGATCTGTGCTTTAACAAGCCCTTCAAACGTGGTTATCAGATGTAATCCCTGGTTCAATCACTGACATTATCATGATTATTCAGTTCACTAGTTTATCAAGTTACTTCTTGTCTATCACCACATCCAATTTTTCCTTTTTACTATGTTTTCTGAGGTTGATTGTGGCTCAGATTGTCTCAGGGCCTCCTGGACTACTGAAAACTAAAACAAAACAAAACAAAAACTGGCTTCTGGAGCAGGACTAAATCATCAGACTGATCTTTTCAAAGCAATACAGAACCCTGTATGTCACTTTCAGAGGTTTTCCAGTTCTTATCCTTTAGTCCCACATTATTGGAAGGCTATATTGTTATTTTTGTAGAGACAGAAAGATGGGCTACCTTTCCTCACCTATCATAAGGTTTACAGCTGACATTTCTGTAACCAAAGGTAGGCAAACAAGAGAAAAGCATAACAAATATATTTTATCAAATTTTAAGTGACATTAACAGCATTCAAAAATGAAGACAAAGGTCAAGGAAGAGTTTGTATTTATATTTCAATTCAATGAATAATGGACAAGCATCTAGAAATATGATGAGACTAAAGGATATGACTTAGTGATAGTAACTGAAAGAGAAAACCAGCAAGGCCTGTGTGTTCAGATTCTTCTAGGCCTCTTCCTCCTAGGTAGAGCAAAGAAACTATCAGAGTGACGGTCCTTAAGAGAGAAAGGAAAAAGGAGATGGTGAAGTTTGTAAAATTTATGTTGTGCTTTGGGGAAGAATTCTACTCTTTATTCACGACTGCACAATCTGCCCTAGGTGCTTTCCCCTTTCCTTTCAACACTTCCCATCCACAGGAACATTTGCTTATCTTTTTCTTCAATAAAATCTTTTTTAAGTGAACTTTTTCCAAATTTTTTATTGTGATTAAGTGGTTACATAATTTCCTAAATTTCATTCAATAAAATCTTGCCATTTTACTTCTCCTTGTGCTCCATGGACTCATTCTTCAAGGTCATGGAGACAAAAGACCCAATCCAGGTGTTGCAGTTTTTCAGTATCACTTTGAACTGATGGACAGTGAAGAGGACTTCAAAGTTTTTCTCTGACCGCTTGTCCCTGGTCTCCTCCTGCCCCTTCTTAAGAAACAAGAACTCCTCTTTCCCAAGGCAAGCAGGCCATAAAGTAGGCTCATGGTGATCATGCCTGCAATCCTAGCTATTTGGGAGATGATCAGGAGAATCATGGTTGGAGGACAACCTAGGCAAAAAGTTATTGAGTCTTTATCTCAACCCATAAAAAAGTTGGGTACGTAAGAACAGACCTCAGGACCAATGGAATAGAATTGAAAACCCAGAAATGAACCTACAGACCTATAGCCATCTAATCTTCAATAAGGGAGCTAAAACAATAGAATGGAAGAAAGACAGCCTCTTCAGTAAATGGTGCTGGCAAAACTGGTTAACTACATGTAGAAAACTAAAGCTAGATCCTTATATATCACCCTGCACCAGAATCAACTCCAAATGGATCAAAGACCTTGAACTCAAAGCAGACACTCTGAAAACATTACAGGATGGAATAGGAGAAACCCTGGGTCTCCTTGGCTCAGGCCGAAATTTTCTGAATAGAGACCCGGAAACACAACAAATCAAAGAAAGGTTGGACAAATGGGATTGTATAAGGTTGCAGAGCTTCTGCAGGGCAAATGACATAGCTAGCAAGATCAATAGAAAGCTCACGGACTGGGAGAAGATCTTTACTAGCCATACAACGGACAAGGGTCTCATATCTAAAATATACTTGGAACTCAAAAAATTAAACCACCCAACAACAAATCCTCAAAGAAACAACTGCCCAATAAGTAAGTGGGCGAAAGACTTAAAGAGAAGCTTCTCTGAAGAAGAAAGAAGGATGGCCAATAGACACATGAAGAAATGTTCAACATCCCTAGCCATAAAAGAAATGCAAATCAAAACAACATTGAGATATCACCTCACTCCAGTTAGAACAGTAAAAATCAAGAACTCTAACAACAACAGATGCTGGAGGGGATGTGGACAGAAAGGAACCTTACTTCATTGTTGGTGGGAATGTAAACTTGTTCAACCACTTTGGAAAGCAGTATGGAGGTTCCTCAAAAGACTTCACATAGAACTCCCCTATGACCCAGCAATCCCACTTTTGGGCATTTACCCTAATGTTTACAAAAAAGACCACACTAAAGCTACCAGCACAACTATGTTTATTGCAGCATTATTTACCATAGCTAAGATATGGAACCAACCCAGATGCCCCTCAGTAGACGAATGGATCAAGAAAATGTGATATATATACACAATGGAATTCTATGCCTCCATCAGAAAGAATGACATTTCCCCATTTGTTAGGAAATGGAAAGGCTTGGAAAAAATTATATTTAGTGAAGTAAGCCAGGCCCAAAGAAACGTAGGTCCCATGGTTTCCCTTATTTGCAATATCTAGTATAGGTATGAGTCAAGCGGAAAAAGTCAGAGAATGTGATGTTAGGAAAACGAACCCTCAAATATGTATTTTAATGTTTTTGTTTCTTTCATGCATGTGTTTCTAACGCATTTATAAGGTTATTTCTTTGTTGCTTTGTATGTCCCTCCCCCACAGTGTAACCCCCGCTTTCACTATATTTGATGTCAGTACAACATGTGGAGGAGATGGGGACAAACAAGTCGTTTAAGGATTCAGGTGGACCTGTTGCAACAATGAGAAGTACAAAATGTCATGTCAAAACCAGCTTTACAATGTCGGTGTGGGGGGGGAGGGGGGGTATGATTGGGTGGGGGGAGGGGGGAGGCTGGGAAGGGAGGTGAAGGGTAAACAAAGGAGGAGGCTGCAATGCTTGGTAAGAAATGTATGCATTATCCTGCCCATGTAATTGTAACCCCTCTGTACAGTATGTTCTCAAATAAAATAAAATAAAATTTAAAAAAAAAAAAAAAGTTGGGTATGGTGGTATGAGTCTGCTACCTCATCTGTTCATTGTTTTTTGTTTGGTTGGTTGGTCTTGCCATTCATGGGGCTTGAACTCAGGGCCTGGGCACTGTCCCTGAGTTTCTTTTGCTCAGGGCTAGCACTCTACTACTTGCGCCACCTCTGGTATTTTCTGTTTATATGGTACTAAGGAATCAAACTCAGGGCTTCATGCATGCTAGGCAAGCACTCTACCACTAAGCCACCAGATTGTTTCCTTCCCAGATTGTTTTTGAGGTCTGATTATTTACCTATGATTTGTACAAAATGTTTAGTTTCCTCCTTTATCTGGCTTTAATTCTCCAAACTAATACTTTCCAAACATTTTCAACTGTCTACTCTTTAGAAAAAGTTCCATCCTATTCTACAGAGCTGCTGTGATGGGAATCAAACCCAAGGCCTCACACCTAGCCCTAGCTCTATAGCTTTCTATTTTGTTACTAGTACCAGGGCTTGCTTTTCTTTTTTCTTTTTTTTTTAACTCATGGCTAGAACTCTATCACTTGAACCACACCTCTAGTCCAGATCTTTTTGCTCAGATGGAGTCTTGCAGACTTTTCTGACTGAGCTGGCTTTGAACCATGACCCTCATGAGATTTCAGCCTCCTGCATAGCTAGGATTATAAATTGACCAATACTGCCTGGCAGTTCTTAATAATCCTCTTCCTTCTAGGACTATGTATTTTAATCTCATTCTAGCCTGATGTTTTTGTTTGTCTTCCAGTCATGGGGCTTGAACTCTAGGCCTGGGCACTGTCCCTTGAGCTCTTCAGCTCAAGATGAGCACTCTACCACTCCAGCCA